CCGCGATGGTCGTGTGCATCGTGTTCGGCCAATCTATAGATTATTCGTGTACACAGGTCGGTACACACGCGGACCAGGCTTAACGATCTGGTCACGCGCGCGGATATTAATTCCGTTAAATCGCACGGATAAGCCGGCGACGACGAGAAACACAGAGGGGAAAAACGTGGGAAATGAAAAACGGGGCCGATGTGTTTTGCGGTCGTACAGCCGATATTTTAACCGCGAACGAGCGCGGAATTTATCCTAGCGTCGTTCCCAGCCAGCTACTCGTTACCGAGAAATATCGACGCACCGTGTCGTTGAATTTCTTTACCCTTTCTCCTCTCTCACTTTCTCTCTTGCTCCGATATCACCGACCGCTTTACTCAATTTAACTATCGTCCGTTCAAGGTATCGTCTTTAGTATGATCGATACGACGTATCGGTTTTTAATCGAACGTATGCAACGAGTAGTATCGACTTCCTGTTTCGTAACAGTCTCGAAAATTCAATGACATTTACCGTTTAAACCTGAAATTGACTCGACATCGATGAAACAAAGTTGATAGAACGCTCTATTCGCGTAGCGTCGCAAGCAAACGTAAACACGCTCGAGCAAATGGGAATCCGTAGTCTCCTGGCGACTACTTTGATACTTACGATTAATATTAATTACCTCGGGGAATATGTAGGTCCGGTTGATTCACGCGTACCACCAGGAATACAGAGGGACGGGGACGAGAACACGCGTGATCGTGGCGCCGGGTCTGCGGTGGCTGTATATCGCTATTAAACCTTGGCCCAACATCGCTTTGGGACGAGCGACCAGCGGAAACGCATATTCGCGTTGCGTTCCCGCGATAAATTTCACCGGGTGCTCACCCGTTACGAAACAATTTTGCTTTTTAACCGATCTAATCTATTAACGCGGATCTCTCCGGTCTCTCGGCGAACGAAGGATCTTCGACGTTATTTATTACGATACGGACAAAGTACAAACGGAAAATGGAAATATTTCGTGTCTCTTATTCGATAGGTGTTTCGATAGGTTTTTAGCGAAGGAATTAATTGAAGTGGCGGAAAGGAAAAAGCGTCGCAGTTAATCTTATCGACAGCCGACGGAGTATCGATCGAAGACGCAAAAAGCCGGAACCTTGTCTAGAAACGAAGCAGCGGTAATGCCGCGAATGCGAGCAATTTCACGGCAAGCGACTCTCCCGGCCCGATTCGGTTTCGATTCTGCCCGCGGATTACCAAGCAATTACGATCGTTTCTCGTGTCCGATCAGCTAAACAGCTGACCTTTTCGACGTGCCCGTCGATTACTAATTTCACCCCGAACGAACGTATTACTCTGATCGCGAACGACATCGTTTTTGTTCTTTAAACGCGTAACGGAGCAACGGTTCGCTATCGCGCAAACGACAACCAGCGAATCGTTCGAGAAAATCTCTAATTATCCTAAAACGATCGCTCTTCGCTACAACGATTACCTCTTTTCTCCGCTGCGACAACTATACCTCTAGTAATCTTTGTTCCGTTCTCTGTCGCAGCGAATTCCCCCCCGTTACAACAGGTAGATTAATCTCTGTTCTCTGCCAAATCCAATGAAGCGAAACTCTCGATTCGTTTGTTTCTCGCGAAGAGTTAAACGCGTTCGAGTCGCGCAATATTTTCTCCCTACCTTGTAATCGTATATTTACGACGTTCCTTCTCCGAACGCGAATAAATCAATACATTGTCACGAGCATAGCGCAATAAAACAGCTTTAATCCCGTTATTAGTGGCAGACGATGTTTCTTTCTCTTTTCTTTTCTCTCGTTCTCGATTCGGTGGACGCGCTTTCGGTGTTCGCCCGCATTACGGTTTTCCGTCTCGCTGCTTCCTACTGATTGGCTTCCGAATCGTCCAATTATTAATCTCTCATCTGGTTTTCCAGCCGCTATACCGGGTTTCCAGAATCAGTCGACCGCGCTCGTTAATCGTACGATCTTTCGACAAACGCGTTAACAGGTTCACGATGTCTTTCGTTCCCGATCAAACGGGTCAAAGCAAAAATTGGGTGAACCGTGTCAGCGTTGATCGTCCGAACGAACGTTCGACAACTTTTTCCACGCTTTACAAATCACGGAATTGAAAAAGGAACAAATACGGAGCACGCTGTTTTATCGCTCGGCTTTAATTTAAAATGTCTCTTCCTCTCTTGAACGTCGAAACGTCGAAGCGTCGCGCCGCGTCGCTCTTTCCCTTTTCGTCGTCGGACAGAGCATTTGTTCTACCTCGTGCGATGTAACTTTTTCTTTTTTTTCAATCGATTGGTTGCCGCGCGAGTGTTGCAAAAACGTTGTCCTTTTAAATTACCGTCGCGCGTATCGACGGATCGATGTAAATGCATCGGAGCAACGGAAAAGCTTCACGGAGGCTCTCTTCAGCGGGAAATCGTCGATCCAGAAAAGTTGGTCGCGCGAAAGAAAACGCGTATTCTTCGATCGCGAGTCGATAAATTTGTAATTTCTACTCGAATCGCTTATCGCCGTGACTAGAAATTCGAACGATTTCGTCGCGAGTATGTATTTGTCCCGTCTTCTCTGCTCGTCGATGTACAAACACGATTAACGAATCGTCAGACTCGGAGTTTCGAATTTTCTCGAATCACCCGACCTGTTGCGAAACTTCTCGCCTTTTACCGTAGCTATTTTCTGGATCATCGATCGCTTCTCCCTTATCTCCCTTATCTCCCTTATCTCCCTTATCGTTTCGATATTTCATTTAATACGTTTCGATGAAACGCTTTGAATCTTTTCGCTGGCGATAATTGGCGAAAGTCGCAAGCGAACAAATCGAGTTAGGAAAAGCGAACAGGCGATCCAACATTGTAGCAAATGGATATTAGATTTTATCGGTACTCGAACCGCTTCGAATATTCCGCCGAAACATTCTATCGCGAAGTATTCTCGATACCGCGATATTAATTCGTAAGCCCAGTACGTGGATAACTATCCAGGAGGTGCACCGAATTCCTCTACCGCTTTATCTACAGTTAGCCGGTGAAAATAAGTGGCGTAGTTCTCGGGGATGCATAATTCAAGGAAAGTTACATCGTAACTTTGGACAAGGTCTTTGTCTCGACCGTGAATCACCTCCATAAATTATTTTCTCGATGTCCTCGCGGTGTATAAGTATCTACGTAATATGTACGGAGCAGTTTATCGAAGATGCGCGACCAACGCCAACTTATCCCGCCGTGTCAGTTTGTTTTCTCGCGGACTCTTTCGATATTTCGCGGTCGTTAACTGATCCGAATAATCCACAGAGACACGAATAATAATCATTGTTATGACCGTTTCTTTAACAATAACCAATTACGGATGAATATTAGTTGTAATTACAGTTTATTTCGAATAACAACCGTGCTCTATATCGATTCGAGTACAGTCGTTCGCGAAAATGTTCGCGACCTCGAATCGTTAATTCGCCAATTTAACAGCACGAAATTGTCACTCGCCACCTATCGGTACAACGTCGTTTATCGAGTTTAAGTTTATCCTAGGATGTACATTTTCAATGTCTTCCTCAGACTTTAGTTGCGATATTGTTTTCGAAGCACGAATTATACATTATACATATACACATATGTTATAACGATGTCGAACGTAAGCGTTTCTCGTTACTTCCGCGAACGGCTGTAGGTGCGCGTTACTGATTCATAGAAATCTGTTTTAGTTTCTAACGTATTAATCGAATTAAGAGATATACGGTGAATCAAGCGATACCGTACTTGATATAACTAATTGTATATCGATTAGAATTTATGATCGTTATTCAAATTCGAACAAATTGAATTCGATGGTACGTAATTCTGGTAGGTGGTAAAGTTACTTTCACGGGACAACGTCTGTTCTGACTCCGGTAAAAATACGCATCTCGGTTGCGCGACGAGAGAAACGGAAGCTGTGCATCGCGAGTTTGTTAATTTTGCAAAGTTATTTCCGTGACCGCGGTAACCGAGCGCCCGGCAAAAAGCATGCTTTATTAATCATTTCCATCTCGGTGAAAAATTGAATTTTTAACGGTGCAATCCTGCAACAGCCTGGCTGAAAGTTTCACGTCGCGTTCCGGACGTTGCAAACGAGACTCGTCGAATAGAGACTCACCGATCGTTACAAACTCGACAATGAATACTAATAATTTTCGAGCGAAAAAGAACGACTAGAGAAAACGACTAAGAAAATATTCTATCTCCGAGTTATCGAGAATTAGTAGATTTAAATTTAATGCCTTCGCGACGTTACTGTTTCGATCGGTTGTAACGTTACGCGTACAGAGTATAACAGGAATATCGTTAAAAAGAGAAGACGCTTAATACCGAGGGAGAAACGCGAAGTTTTTCACGAAATAATGTGGTAGAATAAATCCTCTATACGTCGGCAGAGAGGATGCTTTTCTATGTTTACAATGGATTTTGCTGGTAAAATGACGAAGTACGCTTCCCAACGATTAACGCGTCCTTTGCTCCTATTATTTCGCTAAAGTTGAAAAGAAATATAATTTTCAATTTTATATTGTCATCTTGTTGAAAAATATTACAATACCATATTTACCAAATTAAGTAGCAAAATAAGTAGACGATTATCCCGTTGAGAGAATTTATCGACGAAGCAGTCCGTCACAATAGATTCGATGAATCTGGACTCGGACTAGGACGAGTTAAGCGAATTTGGTAAAGTTGCGAATTAAATAAGAACTTTAACCAGGAATTCCTCTTTTAATATCCGGATAAAACTGCTCTTATATGTATAGAGGTATTGTAATAACGACCAATCCTTGTTCATCTTCTCATCGTTTCAAGATAAAACTTTCCGTTCGTTCGTTCAATTACGACGCGAAAAGTTCCTTTTATTCCGTAATAAACTATCCGAGAAAAAAATTAGCGGTTGCTATGGTAGGTAGGTACGGGCTAATATCGTTCAAAAAGTACGCGTGTAAGAGTTAACGAGATTTTTCTTTTTATACTTTCAGCTTGCCTTGGTGTTCAACAATTCAAAGAGACACCGCAATATACCGAAGTGAATCCTGGTCAGGATGCGAAGCTGATCTGTCTCGTGCACGGGAAGATGGGTCAATGTATTTGGCAAAAAGATCAAAAGGTGAGTGTCGGGCTTTACCTTGATTCCGCTTAACGATAAGCGATTTCGCGTCGTACGTTCGACAAGAATACATGAAACTGCAACTTCGTTCGAAGCGAAAAATTCGTTCGTTATTAAAACAGTTTTTCGTGAAATTTAATTATCCTAAGTGTATGCGGAACAGTGCACAGCTTCTCGCGATGATAGCCTTTTGAATTTACTAACTGGTACATATCGCAAAAAAGAAAGGGAAATATGGGAATAAAAATTGAACTTACACGAGTTTAATCTAAATGAAATGAATTCCAGGAAAAAGCGGTTGAACGAGCATAGGGAAAAAATGAAAACTTGGAGTACGCGCGTACGCGTGCATACGTCGATAATAAAAGGGAAACGCTTATACGATAAAATTAAAATTAATGAAATTGAAAGCGATAAAGGAGGAATGTAGTTATTAAAAAAGCTTTTGATAAATCTCGCAGCAGGAACGTGTAAAATACGCGCGCCTTCAAGTGCAAAGTTTCAAAGTAAAATATGAAAGATCGCAGGTAAGCGTTATCTGGCGAGAGGGTAGAAAAAAGGACGCCGCCACGCCACCCTTTTCCGACTTTAACCCGTCTATCGCGATTCCAGCCAGTTCATTGTTAGCACCGGCGTGTAACCTCGAAGCAGCCAACTTTTCTGCGCCCACCCTACTCTCGATTCCGCTACTAAACTTTCCTCGAGATAAGTTTCTGCCTCCAAAGTGGACGTTACGTGTCTGTCGACAATAAATACTTGTTCGTAGGTAGCTGCCGAATCGACCCCTGGCCCTAGTCGAATCATTCGACCTAAGTAAAATGTATAGTGCCCTGTCGTACGTTTCTCGTTCGACCGATGCGGAAAAAATAGTATGTCGAAGCTGCGTAACGATCACGAACACGCGGAAAAATATCGTCGATCGAACAAAAAACCTAACTAGAATTTTATTAATACGCGTCGATGTCGATCGAAACGATTCAATGGATTTCACTCCCATAGAACCGTGCTATCGAAGGTGGATAAAAATCAGGATACGAAACAATGCTACACCCGATCGCATACACCATAGATTATTGGTTTTAACCCAGCCAAAAGAGAGATAATAATTCATGCACGCGCACGGATATTACCTTTTAAATTAACAAATCCGTCTGACAGGAATAGTGGATGGACTCGATAAACCGCGCCGCGTCCATATTGGCGGTCATGTAAATCCATGTAGAACGAGCTCAAAGCCTAGCGCGAAATTGAAAGTCCAAACGGAATTGGTTACATTCGTTATATCGCGTTTACAAGCGATACTCGTCGATCCTCGATACCGATCGTTATTACATTTTTACTATTTCTAATTCGTGTTAAACAGCACTAATTCGAAATAGCTTCGACAGCGTCGCAGCGGTATCGGCGAAATCGTGCGTCGTTTTCGTATTTCGCCAAGATTCTACCGTACGTTTTATCCGCATAAATTGCTGGCCGAATGTGTCTACGGGTCTACGGTTAAAGGAAAGTGCTGGCAGTAATGCCGCTATTCAACGGCGTTGCGCGAGCCATTCGTTTGAAAAAAATTTTTTAATTAAATCCCCAGCTACCCTTTCAAGCCTAGATTTTGTTTTTTCTCTCCTTCGAAAAAAAAAAAAGAAATAAGGTTTCGGAGAAACGAGTACACGAAAGCGAGCGTGGTCCGACTCATTTACTTACAATTACCTACTTAAAACCCTCGGAAGAGTGGGTTGTTACCACCAGTATTCACTGACCCCGTCCTTGCTGCGTATTTTTCTTCGAACGAACGTCAGTAAAAATTCTGAAAAGAAAACTACACGCGTCCGCAAAATTATATTCAAATATCGTCTCTCGATTCATTTCGCTTAACAGCCCCGGATCTCTTACCAACAAAATGCTAACGGCAGTCGGAACATTTTTTTTATTATTAATTCCTAGGTTCTTGGTTCTCTCTAAACTCTTTCGTCATATCCCTAAATTATTCGTAAATTTTCTCTAGGTTGTCTCGACACTCTCCCAACCGTAGTATTATAAAAACATTAAACGGTCGTATCCTGATAATTAATAGTAACGATATTGTCGTGAAAATTTTGAAAAGTTTCCAAGAGTCTGTATCGGTACCGTTGAAAAACCTTGATCTTTTACTAGTCATTGAGAAAACCGCGCACAACGTGTCAAGCTGAACGTTTTTGTAGGAAAAAAGGGAAGGAAGCGAGAATGGGGTTGGACAGCGGTGAACGCGACGTGGTCGCCGAGAAGAGAAGTAGAGCAAGAAACTCGCCGGAAACGAGTCTGAACGCCGCCTTTAGCTTCCGAATTGCCGTAATAAAATCGTCTGCTATTGAATCTTTCGCAACAGATGCAACTTTTTTTTTCTTTCCTTTACCTTTTATTTTTACTTTATGTACGTCCTTAATGCGTTTGTTTATTCCGGAACGGGCGTCTCTGTACCAAAATAAAACGAGTAAACGATCGATCGCGATATATTCTTTCTACAACTAGTGTTCCTAAATGAACCGTACGGTAGGCTCCCTCGAACAAACAGGCGCGATAACGTTTCTAAAAAGCGGATGATCGCGTAAGGACCTTAAAAAGTTTCGTTTGTTACTCTCGATAAAATGGGAAAGAAGCGCGTCGTTTCGCGGAAAAGGAACATCCTGTGAATCTCGCGACGAAGAAAAAATGCGACGGTTCTCCGCATTGAATCGTCGTCGGACAATAATCGTTTCTCCGTTGATGCCGTCGCTGACACTCGACTTCATTATCGTCGTTATCGTTAATCCCGAAGAAACTTTATCCTTTTTCTTTATTCCATCGGATCGCGCAACTGTCTCGAAGGGCTCCTTTCTCTGCTCACCCCTTTCCACTTTCTTTTCTGCGCCGCTTCTTCTCGCGTAATCGTCTTTTCCTTGTAATTAAGTTCTTCACGGTCCTTTGCGCGTTACCTCGACGATGAAAGAACCGGTACGTCCGTGGTTAACAAACGAGAAGGTAGCCGTGCAAGATCTCGACGTTAAAGCTCGAATCGCGTTTTACGTTTTAACCACGCGTCCCGTTTCGCTTTCGAAACAATTTGACCATGCTGGAACTCGGAATTAACCGGACAATTGTTTCGAGGTAGAACTTGTCGAAACTCGAAGGAAGGAAGGCGATAACGTTTGATAATTTTGATACAACAGTTTCGGAAAAACGCTTACTTTAATCGAACTCGACGAAGATTCGGTAGAATGTTTCTTCCGTGCAATTAGTTTTGCGACGCGAGTGATTTTCATTGAACCGTTGAGTTTCATTAAGGAAAGAAAAAGAAAAAATATCTAGTTACTATCAATCATTTTTAGACAATAGGCTATACACGAAGCGATGTAATTTCGCGCGAGTGAAAAGCTTATGAAAGAAAAGAAAAGGTTATTCCTGCTCGGTGCGTTGCACCTTGCACGCAACATAAAGGAACAATGAATCGAGCATAGCCGAATAAAAATATAAACCTGCAACGGAGAGCCGGTTTTTCTCGCCGTATTGTCGGCTGGGTTAAGAGCCACAATTTTTCTGGCGTTCGCGTCAGCGAATTACGCTTTACAGGAAGCTGGGTCACGAGAAAAATACTTGGCCGCTTGTTCAAAAATTTCGAACATTACCATCTTTTGATCGTTCTTTCAGTCCTTTTATACCGATCATCGTAGAACGTTACCGAACATCGTTCAGCGGTCAATTAACTAAACAATTATTTATTATCGACACCGTGCGTTCCTTTATTACGTTCTATTATAAAACTCTCGATTCCGATAACGATACGACGTCGTAGAATTTGCCAAAGGTTAAACGAAAAAATGAACATGCCCGGAGGTAGGTAAGACGCTAATACCCGTGTAATTGCGTGGCCGTTCTTTTTACTCGCGGCAACGCGACAGTGTAAACGTCAACGCGCTAACGACTCATTATTCTTCTTGTCCCCAGGCATGCCTCGCGTTCTCCCTTTTATCTACGCGCAAATAATCATACCGAGAATTTCCCATTGTATCATTCTGCCTGTTGTTAAACGACGAACCGTACACAACAACGTTTCGAACGCGTATAAATTTTCTTCCGAACCGAAAGTACCTTCAAACTGGATACGAAAACGAACTTTCACATTAATTTGACCAAGCTTTTATTCCGTTGCTCGGCTAAATCATAAAGGCAAAGCTAAGAAACGGCGCCTTTTCGATTCGGGAAGCGCTACCTTCACGCCCACTCGAGTATCCACGGACGCGAACACGATTCTCCCACCACCCTTCGTATTCGGCTTCCCTTAAAGTTGCCCGTTTTTCTTATACCATGGCCGTGTACCGTTCCGCTTAATTACGAGCGCTCGCGAGCCAAACAAATTCCCTGCGGAGAAGGAAAGAAAACGCGCGTAAGGAGACATCGCGCGAAGATTCTGCGATCCGTGGAAATGCTCGATCAAAAGATTTCTTTGCCTCTCTTTAGTTCGCCGTCGTACCATCGCGGGCGCACCCCTTCCCTTTTCTCCATTTTCTTGCCTCTCTTTTTCTCTTTGTCGTCCAATTCGTTCGCGTTTCGTTTTCAACCAGCGAGCTTTTTTCAGTCGAGGTGTCGTAACGACTTGAATTTAGAGGCAACGCTCGGTGGCATACCCTACCATTCTTGACCGCGATACCGATACCGCGCGCGGTGACTTTTCTCGCCGCGTAGTTTCGCGTTTTCGAATTAAACGAGCGTCAGCGCGTTATACGATTAAAGCTTCGATGTAATTAGGCGATCGAACATTCGGAAAAAAAAAACAACGCGAGCAAAGTCGACCAAGCGTATCGCGCGGAGAAGAAGAGCGTCACAGTCGAGAAATCTCTGACGCGTAAGGTCGAAGGGAAGAGGATTAGGGGGCAAGAGTCACCGGTGTCATTCATTTAAAGGATTAAAATCCGCGCGAGCGGCTGTAATGTACGAGCGTTCGCTTACTTAAGGGGAAGGGCCCTTATTCCCTTTTCTTCTTTCTCGTCGGTTCACGGCCGATTCTATCCTCTTTCCTCCTACGTCATCCACCTTCTCTTGCCTCTGTGTTCTCCGTAGAGGCCGCGACCAGCAATCAGCGTAATGCACCCGCAGACACACCCCTCGCGCCGCTGCGCCGCACCGCGCCGTCTTTCCTCTTCGTTCAACACGCTCGTACGTCGAACGTCCGCACACCACCAGCCTACGAACTCGTAACTTCTTCGTGCGCGATTCTACACGTTCGACGGAGAGGGCAAGCAAACCATCTGGCCAGGGTACTCCTCTGGGCCAAAGGCACTGATAACGCGGCCGAGAGCTTGAGTAATGCAGACGCAATGGCAATCTCTTCGAGAGCAACGAAATAGATCGTAGGACGTGGATCGATGCCGCGAAAACCCTGTCTGCTCTTCCTACCAGTTCTTCGCCCCTCCTCTTCCCGAAGCTTCTAAGTCGGTTGATGGCCGAAATCAATCTTTTGTCGATATACTTTGCGCTTTCGAACACAGCGTTGCTAATGTCCCTTCCATATTTTGAACGTTCAGCTACCGCGATTAAACGCTTCGATTTTAATCCGAGTCGTTTCGATGTTCGAATACGTGTTATCGATCTAATCGGAAAGAGCGAATCGAATCGTTGCGAACTCGTGGCGGAATACATATTTGTTTGAAAATCGAAAAAGAATAAGTCGTTACTTCCCATATTTATCGTCGAACTTTCGAAGGTACGAGTGGATTTGTTTGGTAGAAGAAGGAAGAAGGATTGATTCTCGCGCGAGCGAGCAGGGTTGCAGAGGGTTGAACGAGCGTAAAAGGCGCAGCAGAGGGTTCTCTCGGTTGGAATTTCTTCGAGGTAAAAAGAGGCTAAAGAAGAAACCGGATAAGAGGGTGCGGGAGGATGGGTCGGGTCGTGGAAAGAGCTTTCTGGTAATCCGTTCAAGGCGATTCCGTACACCTATTTCGCTAAAGTGATTTCGTGCCTTCGAAGGATTCGACGTTTCCTCGGAAATCACACCGTCGCGTTGCCTCGCGTCGTCCCATCGAACTTGCTCTCTTCCTCGGATTCCATCGTTGGGAAACGCGCATCCCGTCAACCTCGAACGCTCGTCTTCTTCGTTTTCTAATTCCTGCATTAGGTTCCGTGTTGCAGTTCGAACGAGAAATTCTTTTTTTCGAGTAAGTCGCGATCCGATCTTAAAAGAATTTCGCTGGACGATGTAATCGTGGATTACAGCGTTCGAACACGACTTAACTTTTGTTCGTTAAATTCTATGTTTCGCCCTACGAAATGAAATGAACCGTTTCCACCGTTGGTATAACCAACACTTTTACCCGGAGTGGACCGTTGCTGTACGAATTGCAACTTATCGTCTGAGCAAATAATTTACACGAGTTTTCAGAAATAACGGTCGAGAATAAGTTCGAAGGCAAAGTTAGTTACGACGTCGTATCGCGATCTCGTGCAACGAGCAAACAACGCTTCTCGACGTCCTGAAACCGGATCGTCCCCAAAAGCTGCAAGATTTATACCCTTCGCGGTCTCTCGTTACTTCTTCCCCGATTTCCTCCGCCTTCTCACCCTCTTTTTCTACCCTTTAACCTACCAACGATCTCTCTTTATTCGCCCTTCCCTCGAAAGCGAATATTTATGAAAGATGTAAATAACAAACAGGATAATTCTCTCCGGAGAATACGAATTACTATTGTTTATGACACTAGACGCCTTTCCTCGCTGCCAAACCCTCTTTCGTTCTCGTTCATCCGGGAACGTCTCGCGCGAGCGAGCTCCGTATTGTCTGCGACTTTTTCCACCAGCCGACTATCCAAACGCGACGCGACCCTCGCGCTACGAAAATTGCCCAATGGACCTTTTCTCTCTTTCTTATCTTATGCGACGGAAAAATTTTCTCGCAGAAAATACGAAAGTACTTTGCCATTGTGCTGCTGCTGCTGCTGCTTCGAGTCGCGTGCGTATACTGTAATGTACATGTAAATACGAGAATTCGAAAATAATCATCCAAGATTTATCATCGCGTTCGAGTGACCGAGTAACGCGATACGAATATTAGATTTAATCGAGTTCGACCACTGCCTCTCGAATTGCTAGCATTCCTGAATTTGTTCGGAAACGTAGCAAAATTCGATTGTAAGGTACATCGAAGGGAATAGCTATAGGAGTAGCATGGCAAATTGTAAGTTTACCTTCGGCAAACTTTGTTTCCGATGATCCGAAGCTGATCGAACGCGAGTCCACTTTCTGTTGTTTCCATTTTAATCGTTTTCCGATAAAGATCCCCAATGATAAAGCGAAACTCGAGGATCGAAAATTTCAACCAACTATTATGTTACATCGAGTGTGTCTTATTAAGAAAGATATAATTTGAAAATTGTCGGTGAAGAGAATATTTCGAAAAGGCGTTTACCGTTGGTTAATTTCGCCCTTTCCCCTCGATCGTTTCCGGACGCTTTCGATCGCTTTCGGCTAATTACACTAGGATTAATTATACATTCACCGCGACGGAATAGCTTACGAAAGAGAAACGTGTACGCGGGCTTTTGTAACGAAATAACAGGAACGCGAGAGAAAGAAGCAGAGGGTGAAGAGGATGGGCGGTTTTCACGATGCCTCGAGGGGTAAACAAAGCGAGGGGTCTCGCACAGAGTGGACGGATAAGTGGCGGTCGAGTGGTGGACGGTTGCTTTGGAAATTTATCATTTAATCTTTCCGCGCGATGTTCGTGGCATTGTGGTCTCTAGGTTGGTTGCCTCGCCTCTGGCTAAATACGTTTCAACGGACTTCTAGTGTCTCTTCGCGATTCGTAACAGTCTGCGTTTAAATACGCGTACAGCGAAATTTCTGTCGATACGTAAATTGCACTTTCCTCGTCTTTCGATGTTACGCATCGATCACGACGAAATTAAATTCCTGTATCGATCATAGAATCGCTCCAGAACCGACGCGCGACCGGAAAGTACCTAACGAAAAATAACGATCCCAGCGTTTCTCTAAATTCCCCTAAAATAAACGATACTTCGCGTGATCCGAAGCTTTGTTTTTCGCAAACGAATTTTATTTACGAGAGCGACTTTTAGAACGGAATGAAATTAATGGTAATTTCATTTCATCGAAAATTGATAATCGAAAAGTATTCCGGTACAAGAGGAACAATACTATCGTATATGCGGAATAACAGTCGTGTACATTACACTCGCGTTTTCTCTGATCCCGATGTCATTAACCCGTATTACTCTAGGGGATTAATATTCAAATTAATGCCTGAAAATCGTCGGTGCGTGGTTCCGGGGCCGCAGAATTGGTCGAAATAGCAGGGAAACCGAACCGATCGATTTAACGGAGCGAAATCGCGGCCGAACGAGCGTGTAATCAAAAGCCGACCGTAAACCGAGTGAGGTCGATGAAGCCGTTCTAATATAACGGAAAATCATTATGAAAATACGTCGATACAATTATATGTATGTCATGGTATAAATAATAAAAAATGAAGTTACATAAATATCGAGCGATTCTACGCAAAGCAATCGAAGAAGAATTTTCAACTTATACTCGATAGCTCGCTAGATATTAGGGAAAACTCGTTAACCGTTTAACTGCTTTAAACGACGAACCAGAAGATTTTTCCAGAAAAACATAGGTGGTTGGTGGCGGATCGATTGAATTTTACCGAGCGCAAGGATAATAGATAACGGCGCAAGGAGCATCATAACCGTGGCCTCGATAAAGCATCGCGCGAACAGAAGAAGGGTGGAAGCAGGAAGGGAAGCGAGAACGGGCCTCGAAAATTCGGCTTTGAGCGGAACCGAGCGGATAGATTATACGAGCACACGGTGGTGAATCGATCCTTGAATTACGGCCACATTATGACTGCGAAACTTGCCAAGGCCGCACTTTCCTAGCCGGCAGACAGCGAATTAATCTACGCGAAAGAAGAGAAGAGCCTGGAACCCGGAAGCCGATGATTCATTTCGGAGGAAACGCGACCGTTGGAGCAGACGGTGTATAGTGTATAGGAACGAGGGAAGAACGAGCAGAGAAGCTTGAGAGGATTCCGGTAACGAGGAACGATCGACGTCCGTCCCTTCGTTCGTCGATTAAACGTTCCCGCAAAACGCTGACATACACCGGCCATTGTCTATGGCCCACGAACCGATGGAATCTGTTGGTGGCACTCGACTCGCGCCCCAACACCTATTCCATTATTCTAGTCACCCTTCTCGATTATTTATCACGTTTTCCTCGACGAAACATTTCGTAATCGTCGCGTTTCATAATTGTTCGAATCGTTTCAGCCGATCGGCATGCAACTGGACAAGTACGAATGGGTGGGACAAACGGACATGGGCGACTGTTCGTTGTGGGTCAGATCCGCCCGTTTGAGTTTCGACGACGGACTGTGGCAGTGTCAGGTGACCGCCAGTGTTTTCACGGAGCAAGACGCATTGGCATCCGAACCGGCGAGGCTGGTCGTCAGAGGTAAGCGTCACCGATCTCGCCGTTGCCATTTCGCTTTCGATTATCGAACTTATTTTCTGATTTCAGTCCGCCCTCAACGACCGCAGATAGAGTACGCGAATCTTCTGATTCCACCTGGCAGCAACGTGACAGTCCGAGCAGGTGAGATCGCTACGCTCACTTGCACAGTGCGGTATGGGAATCCTCCGCCTCTAATTAAATGGTTCGTAATTGTTGCACCGTAGATTCCATACGCCGTACGCTATTTATCGCCTGTCGTCGACGCTTCTCGCCACGCGACGTTCCTTCGCTCTTCTCTCCTACCGCTTTCTTTCGATTATTCTCCCGCGATCTAACTGTTGCGCGCGACAGCTCTGCTTTCGATCGCTCGTCGAACAAACTCCGAATAATTACTCCTTCTTGCTAGTCGTTCGATTACCGACGAACGTTTCTTACGGAATAAGACGCGACTGGAATTAAACGAAGTTGTCCGAAGTCCGCGACGAAATCGACTCGAAGGCAGCGAGAACTAATCGAATCGCTTCCAAAAAGGAGCAGCCGTTTCTCCGCGATGATCGAGCGCGAGCAGAAACTGGCTGCAATCTAACAGCATTCAAAAGCTTTCCTCGAAAACCAATACTGTTACTCGAGTCCTAGCTCGCGATCACTGGTTCTCATTTTCCTACTCGGATACGACTCAGAGGTGGCCAAGCAAAATACGTACGATCGAATTAAGTAGCGAATTTGATACGTTCATTTTTAATCGATAATATTTAGCGAATAATCGCGTATTCGAGTATTCGAAACGGGACGGTGATATTAGCCAGCTAATAAGGCGCTAACGTTACGGATGCCCTATTTCGAGAGATAATTTCCAAAGAGACCTAGTCATCCAATCTTGTCAGTCTCTCCGGTAGATGCACATTCTCATTTGTTCGAGGTGTCTAGCCGGTTAGTTTTCCCCGTGCGAACATTCTGTCCCGTAACGCAGCTTGTGGATCTTGCCAATGGTAGGACGGTTCAATCTTCCCATGAATAATCATGATCCATTTCAGCCCGAGTCTAAATTCTAGGCAAAGTTAAGGAGCCAGCGCAAGGCTGACTTGCACCTTCGAGACGTAGAAATGACAAGTAAGCTTGCCGCGAAACGAAACAGGATGAACAGAGGATGATAAGCTACGGTGAGAAACGTTAATTAATTTATAGACGAATCACGAGCGAACTCGTAGAAACTTTGTCGTCGGTATCGAAAGTTCATGGCTCGTGTCGGAACACTTTGCGGATTCCACCTCTCTCCCTTTCTCTTTCTTCTACTATGAATCAAGATAATCGACAAAGCCGCGTGGCTGTCGAGATACGACTAAACGATTCGATCGTTGTCAGAGCGGATTTACGGTGTCAACTTCTCCGTGACTACGCCAAGTTTGTCCGCATCCGACAGGATTTCGAGCGGATTCGCTGTGTCTTTAAGACGAGCTTAACTCGCGAATCGATGAAAATACACGAGAACGACTCGGTTCGTGCGAAGTATAGCGCGCTTCTGCACAATCGGTTAAATTCGACCTTCGACGATTGTCACGAAAAACTTCGTAACTGGGTGTTCTCGCGTTTCCCAAACCTCGGAACGACGATCGCTAGAAAATCGCTATTCCGTTCGCAACGAAATCTCCACTTTGGCACTGGAGACGCTCGAGAATCGCGGAGCGGCGAGGCAAACTCGAGACGATTACCCGGTTGCGATCTTTGCTTTCGTAGCGAAACGAGTTAACGAGAGAATGGGAGAGAGATAGAGGGCTGATAGGAGAGAGAAGGAAAAGGGAAACAGAGTTGGAGTCGAACCGAAGAAGAAGGTCGCGGCGAGAAGGAAGGGTCGATGTCCGTGGGATTTCAGTCCGCGCAGAGTCGTTAGAGAGTAGCAGCTATTGAAAATGTCAATTTTCCGGGGTAATTCGCGCAGGTACGTGGGTGAAACCGAAGTAACGGCGATGAGGCCCCAGGTAAACACCACGGAGAAGGATAATCCTCGCACTTGGGCGACCTACAGCGTCAGTGAGATTATGGCGGACCGATCTCGTTATGGTCAACTGATCAAATGCGTCGCTATTCATCCAGCCTACGAAAACTCCACCTCCAGCACCGAAGTCAGGTTCGACGTACGATGTGAGTATAATCTCGCTTTTCCAATCTCGATTCGATCGCCACCGACCATCGAACGCGTGAAAATTCTCTTCGTCGACGATAGAACGCGCGGCCGATGCAAATTACGTAAATTAACGACTAACGAAAGATCTCGAATCTTTTCGATCCAAAGCGCTGTGTATTTGTTCTTCTAAACTTTTATTACGACGTTACATAAAATTCCAACGTTCTATAATGCTTTCGTTTGTTTGCTCGACAACTTTCAGATTGTTCGATCCAACGAAGCGATTCCGGACAACTCGATTAGTCGGGAGTTATAGTTGCGGGGGGAAAGTTTTTTTCAAATATTTTGTTGTCGATAACGCGCAACAGTTTTGGTTCGGTTAAGGAATCAAAAATTGTTGGTTCGATGTTTGCTCTCGATATCGAAAGCAAATATTGTTGCTGGATCCCGGTGTTTTAACGCGAGAATGGCTGGCTCCTGTGTCAGCGAGCGATGGATTAACCGCGACGGGATATTAATTCCGGGAACTAGTTTAACAAACGGTATCAAGTTTCACCGATATCGTAGCTTGGGGACTTTTCAATAAAATGGATTTACGTTTATCGCTCGATGTTTAGAACGGTAAATGTAAACGTAGAAAAATTCCGATAGTATTCGATGTCAGGTTGCGTAAAATTTTCGTTAATGTAATCGACGCGATCTCCCTAGTAAATTCTCGAACGCGAATACGAAAACGATTATTGACCGGTGGGTTAAGCGAAAGTAACAGCGTCGAAATACATTCGGTTTCTGGAGTGGCAACGCTCGAAGAGGACGAGGATGGCTGGCACGACGCGACGGGATCCTTCGAAATTCCCACGAGCGCAGCGCGTCGATCGTGCCACCGTCGGCACGAAATATACTGGCGTTTTCAGCGAAACTTTTCAATTTTCCGTGAAAAGTCCCCAGTAGTAGTCGGCTAATGCCTCTAATCAATATACCAGACGAGCCGTCCCGTCTCGTGTCTCCATTTTCGCTCCAATAATCCCTGCGAACCGCGACGCACGCGTCTTCGATCGAAGGCTTCCCGAAGGAAAAGGGAGGAATCGCACCGCGACCCGACCTCCAACTCGATTTCGTCTGAAACGAATTATCTTGCTGATGGCTAGTAGGAGGAGAAGGTACGGTAGGAAACGATTATTAGAGGAAAAATTTCAGTTTCTCCGACGCGGGATGAAACGAACCGCCATCGATCAGGAATTTGATTACGGGGGTCGTTCGTTCCGATTAAATTGTACCTGGTGTACCGAATTTCTTGTTAAACGAGCTTCGGTTTTGCTGGCGATCTAAGCATACCGGAATGTTCCAGTTCTTCTGCTCGATTTCGCTATTTCGGATCGCTTCGGATAACTCGTTCGCTCGTTCACGAGCTTACAAATTATCGACGTTAATATGAAATAGCGAATCGATGGGCTGAAAATTAGCGAGTTCCTTTCTCGACGTAGCCGCGAGCGGTTCGGTGGAATTAATAGACAACCATTCGTATTTATGTGGTTGGCGTTAGAACTCGTCGACGCGAACAACTCGAAAGAACATCGAGTAACAAATAAATCGGTGTTAACGACAGACCGAAGGGGAAGCTGCGTGTGCAGCAAACTGACCTCAACCCCGGTCATCCCCACACGAGCAGCAATTTAACTCTGTACACACGCTGGTAACCGCGAACCCTCATCAATCTCCCTCAAAACGCCGCGTCCTGACATCCTGCTTTCCGACCTTATCGACAATTCGAGCTCCGCTGCATCGTCCGACAATTTTGAATCGCTTTTTACGAAACACCGCGGCGAACAACAATGACTGATGGCCGGTGAATCGATCTGACCGGACTGCTCGAACGCGACGTCTCTGCTTCCCTTTCGAAACCTGCAAAAATATTATTCCTCCACCGCGAACAAACAGAATCTATCATTTAACTCGATAGCGATTACGATATTCGAACATCGCGTCGAGTCGAAAGTTAAGAGATTCGCGGAAAACTTGAAATGTTTCATGACGAATGTTGATTCGAGCGTCTGTGCTGAGCCTAAACTAGAAGATTCGAATATTATAGAATTACGCGTTATAACGCGTGGAAAGCTTTGGACGACGTAACTCGACGGGAATACGCGAAATTACAGATTGCTTTACGATAAAGTCAATGTTCTGTTCTTTCGAATCTCGTGTAGAACAACGGCTGTGCCGATATAATACATCGTTGCGCGTTAACATTTGTCGGATCAGGAACGTCACTGGAGCAAAGGCCGACTCGCGACAAAGTTGGACGGAAAGTTGTACGTAGGAAGAAAGAAAATCCAAGTGGAACGAATTTATGCGAGGTAGATGCAGTTTCGAACGTGCAGCTGACGCGTTAGTCCAACGACCATTCGTTGAACCGTATTCCCAGCCAGTCGTTCTTTGGGTAAACTTCAAACGCCTCTGTTTTTACGGAAGTAGGCGACGCCAGATCGAAGAGGAAAAGCCGAAAGAAAGAAAGAAAGAAAGAAATAGAGGGAGGAAAAAACGTAGCTAGCTACGTTTCGAGGGTGTAGCAGCGAACGTTTTGTATCTTTTGTGCCGCATTACAGTAATTTCTGTTTCAACGTTCGCGTCGAGACAACTTTTCCTCGTGCTCGTGTACACACCCTCTCTAAGTAAGCCATTCACCGTGAATTCGTTAATTAACCTTTATCCGATGTATCGTCTAAAAACCGAGTACGTGCTCTTGGATATTCAACGAACGCGAAGGAACATTATCGCATCGACAAATATTTACCGTCGCATCAACGATCAGACAACAAGCTGAAGCGGAAATACGAATCATTTCGCTTTTTTTTCGTGATACGATCATTTCACCCTGAATTCTTGATAATAACGGTAATTTTCTTCTTTCGCCATTCTTCCGTTCAAATTTGAAACTTTATTTTTCAGACATAAGCAATTAAAATTGACAAAAGGTAAGCACGACCGGGCAAGACTTAACTCGTTAGTCGACTGTAACTTTATTTGAAGAATGTAGAAAAAAAATATATCGGCCGATATTTCGCGAACGATTCGTCGAACGAAACGAACGAAATTTTTCGCTATGTTTTCGAAAATTTATTGTACTCTCCCTCGCACCTCCCATCTCCCGCCTTCCACCACCCATCACTGGCCCGCACCCCTACAGCGCGATAATGAATTTGTTTCGATCAACGTTGCGCTCGTTTGTTCGTAATTTACTAGCACCGATGCTGATCGAATATTCATGAAGCATTGTTCGAAAACGAATACCGAACTACAGAATTTATTGAAAACTCCAAGTGAGGCTGACGCGATTTATGCACTGGGCACGTAGTTTTCGAATGTACAGCTGACGGGCTGGCTTGTTTCCCTACAGTCTTCGGTAAACTTCGAAACCGGCTGTACGGTAATAACGTTGTTGCTCGACATGGTCAGCTTGAATACAAAAATTTGTTTTTCTTGTTTTTCCAATCACGATCAATCGCTACATCGCATCGGCCCATTTTTCTCTCCGCATCGAAATTTCCAGCATTCGACGATCGAATCCGAGCCAATAATCGAATTTGCCGTGAAATCACTACGAAATGTTAGCCATTGTGTTCCAACTATATCAATTAAACATTGCCTCAAGCAATTAAACCAGCTTGTTCGATGGTTATTATCGTTTTGGCGATACCTCCATGTATCTCCCTCTCTCTCCATCTATCTATCTATCTGTCTATCTTTTTCTCTTCCTCTACTCGTGTAAACGTATCTCTCGATTCACAAAAAAGATTGCGCTTTAAAAAAAATTACAAGCCGTTTCGCGAGATACAATGATCGTTTTAAAAATAAAAATTGACCGAATAATAATATTCGAGGCCAGCGATCGTACATCGTAATCGTCGCGAAGAGAACGCGTCACCGTTGATTCCGCATCGATTAACACGGCGAAACAGTCGTATTGTACGCGTATGTCAGAAACGAAGCGCGCGCTATCCAAACGTTTCCCGTAGGCTTTCGATTTCACGCGACACCGAACGCGTTCAAAAATATTGTATAAATGTTCGTAGTCCTTCGTTACGGCGTTTGTTCCATTTCTCAAGTACCTACTCGGTTCCGTTCGATCGCGTTTCGAACAAACGGAATTGTAATTATACCGTCGCGATTGCAGTCGACGCGAACCGAGCCTCGAGGCGAAGAAATTAATTTTCTCCTTAAAAAGCTTGGCCACAGCAGGAGGAACGTGGTTCGACGAGCAAAAGAGAGATTTAATCGGAATCGCGGACAAGAATTGCTATTACGGTTTTAATCATAGCACGGCTCGACGGACGCGGAAGAATAAACATTGGTTGCAGAAGAGTAAACGCAGCCTGGAGTAGCAAGTTTTCAGATTAAATTCTTCGTTAATGAGCGCGTAATTAAAAATGGATTCGAACTCCGCACTACCCCTTTCACCCGTCGTGCCGTGTCGTTCGAAAAGTAGAAGCGACGCGACGCTAGGCGTCCTTTCGTTCGATCGAATCGATCGATCCGAACGCTATCTCCCTGTCTCTGTTTATCTTTTCGCGGGCGGAAAGAAGGAAGGGGAAAAGGCAACACACCGGAAGCTCGATAATGGAACGGAAAACAATGGCACGCGTTCGGCATGGCGCAAAACGTTCGCTGCGTAGGAGAAAACCACGAAATAATGAATGAAAGTTGAACCGTGCAGAGGCGGGTGTTTCGTTATTCCTTGTCAGGAATAATTAGTTAGCCACGGCTCACGAAAAATTCAATTACACCTGCGCGCAGTTAATTCCGCGGTCGTTTTCCCGGGCGGAGAAGCGTAGCGGCTGATTTCCGCCTGGCAGGCTAATCGATGCGTCACGTCGCGTCGGCTAGCTCGCCGAAATCCAAGCAAAAATTTTCATTACTTTTTTTCCTTCGACCTTCTAACACCGTCGGAACGATTGTATCGTGCATTAGGGTCAACTTTACTCTTTGCCACAGTTTCTTCGATTTCTAATAACAAAATACGACGCGTTCGACTCGCTCTTTTATTTCGACGATCGATAATTAGTGACAGAGGTGTAATTAATGCTGGGCTACCGGCTACGGTAACGTCGTTACGAGCTGCAGACTGCAACGTTAATTATTTCATTCGATATTTTCCTTTTCGAACGGGCGAAACTTTTCGGTCGAAGATACCTTACGAAATCGACGAATCGCATCGAAAAAGCCTACGCAAAAGTTTCGCAGCGCGATGGTTCGTTTCCAGAGTGGATGTTTTCGTCCGTACAAAGCTTTCGATTCGGACTATAGGACGCGGAAAACAATTTACCGCGTTAATACGCAATTACTCCCTCCCTTCCTCCAGACCGTCCTCCGGTCTCTTCCCACTGATTTAAACCAATGGAAACTGTGGCCCGCCCACCGAGAAACGTCACAAATGACGGTTAATTAATGTTGGAGCACAGATCCAAATTGTATTAATTAATAATTTCGGTCCCGACCTATTTCCCGGGGGCCAAAAGTAACAAGCTCGTATTCAGACTTGGAAATACAATTACCCGACTGGCAAAGAGAAGAGGCTAAACCGGGAAACGTTAACCGTAGAAACTCGTTTCCCTTTCGCAGGAAACTTGCTCGACCGACCAACGGAGCAGGCTAATTCGTTTTCACGATTAATTATTTCTTTCGTCGTTCGATTCAGCGGATGTCCTGACTACGAGACGTTGTTTTCCTAATTCGTTCGAAGATCGAACTCGAATTTTCTCCCCGAAATTTCATTGGAAATTCAATTTTCTCCGTTGTCAATTTTACACCGTTTCGGTTAATTCGTCGTCGTTGTTGGCTGAAAAGCTCGTCGACGATCCGGTCGAGTTTGCGAGACGCGCGAAACAAATCAAACGTTCCGTCGCAAAAACGATGTCGCGCGAACCGTATCGGACGCAAAGGCGAAGGTAAAAGATGAAAAAACTGAGCAGGGAAGGGACGATATCGAATCGAATCGTCGTCGCTATACGGAATGCGGCTAGCTTGCGCAGCTGTTCATTTCACGTAACAATGATTCCGAAATACGCGCGAACGAACACTCGCTGACCCATTCACAATTTCAGCTTTCCGTCCTTCTCCTCCTTCCCCACTATTACCTTTTTTGCCGTAGCTGCTCGCGTTTCGTACGAAGCTGCGCGCGGTTCTGTGTACGTACCTGTACACGTATCGCGTGCCTATACGTATACACGGTCAACCCTATTTGTACGGTTGCACAGCGTGTTTCTCCGCGGAAAAGCCCGCAGCTGTTTCGATCGGTGGAGGCGTTCTTGTTTTATTTTCTCTCTTTCGCGTGTTTCGCCCGCGCGTCACTGCTCGCGAACGCGAACGTTTAGCCACGTGATTGGCATCTCCGAAACCGCGAATTCGTCATAAGCCAATTTTCGATTCTGTTCAGACGTCCTTTCGACGACTTTCAACATTTTTTTACCTTTTCGACTTTGGCTTGGAAAAGTTTCGATATTAACGCGGATAGTAACGCGGATAGTAACGCGGATATTAACGCGGAAACGAAACGTTTCAGATGCTCCGGAAACGAGATTGGTCGGTGTCCCGACTGGCCAACTGGAAGAGGGCCGAGATCAGTTGGAGATTCGGTGTTTGGCCGACGCGAATCCACCGGCTTCGATCCGCTGGAGGAGAACGAAGAGTTCGGGTGTGACCGAAGTAGCCAGTATCGGGGAAACTCTCTTATTTTCGCCGATCTACAGAAATCACGCAGCCGTTTACATCTGCGAAGCAGCCAATCCCGAGGGCGAAAGCAGCCCCGTCTCTGTTCAAGTGTCCGTCAACTGTAAGTATTCCTTCCCTCGACGATCCGGATAATACTTGCCATTAACCCTTCTATTTCAATGATCTTTCGAGCGACTCTACACAGGACGATAACAACACCCTTGGTCTCGGCCGATGACGCTCGCTGACCTACTATCTCACCGATGCTCGATTAAACTTTTACTTTTACGGTTTGCCGTTTTAAAATAACTCTGCTTTCGTTCTATAAAAATCCTTTTATAAAAAGACTCTTCGTGTTTATCCATTTTTGTTCTTTCGTTCGTCGAACTAATCGCGATAAGCGTAACGCGCGAATTACTCGTTCTCGAGGTGAACGAACTAAAATAAAGCGATTAATGACGGAAACGCGTTTGATTCTCGCGCAGATCCACCGACCATCAGTTCGGTCGGACCAGATCGGCTGACGACGGCGCTTCTCTATTCCCATGCTTTGTTCGAGTGCATCGCTGATGCCAAGCCACCGGCCGAATACAGGTGAACGATTCGCAAATTGATTCGCGTTCGAATTCTCGATTATTTCTGTAAGAGATACCTTATCGTTTCATCGTTTTCGCCGTTTAATCGTTAAATACTACGTTTTTTCGTTAAAATAGGTGGGCCCAGATCTTTACCGATGGCCGAATGCCACTGGAATGCGGTACAGGACAGCGATTGGTCCTGACGAACGTCACGTACGAGCAACAGGGTCAATACATATGTCTCGCTTCGAACAAGATCAATGGAAACGTTAGAGAGGTTAAGAGCGACCCTGTATCTCTGCAGGTGGTCGGTGCTCCAAGGGTAAGAGATTATAAGCGAGCCGAATTACGAGCATAAAAGAAAGTATATTCCCATCCAACCTTTGCTTCGCGGACAGCGGTAAAACGTAAAACGCGTGCAATAACGACGGGAAACATTCGTCGTTAATTAAAATTTAATCGATCGCGAAGCCAACAAATATCGACGGTCTAAAAGCTAACTATTTACTAGGCGTTGTAATTGTATCACGATCGATAATAATAAGCTTTCGCTGCGAAATCAGTGTAATCGAGAAACGTACGATCAGCATCGGCGAATAATTAATAATATTATATTTGCAGCGCGCTGGTCGATCCGTTGACGTACACGCATCGTTGAACATTTACTCGTATTTAAATATGAAATGAGAAATTCATATTTATCGAACTGGCGAACTCGGAGGAAGAGAGAAAACGAGAAAACGAGGAAACGAAAGGGTAGAAAAATTACGAACGAATAAAACGTTATTTTCACGACAAGCTTTTCCTCGCTTGATAGCAAGCTACACGCTTGTTTTCGTTCACCGATACATTTTGCAATCCATGATCCGGGCCACTGCTCGCGGTCAATTCCTGAACATTCGACACGATCGATACGGAAAATTTCACCGCTTTTACGGAAACGTTACTTTCGAAACGTCGAATGAAAACAAAAATTTGATCGCTCGTGACCGATTCATCGAGCGATTTGCGATCCTCGTACACGATAACTCGCGTCGATTCGTTCTAAAATCTACCTTTTCTCTCTTTTTCTCTTTTTTTCACCTATGTTCTCGAGACGTTTCGTATTCGTTCATTCGGTAAAAACGCGCGTCATAAATAGATCGATGGTAACGGGAGAAATCTCTGCAGTCGTAACGGAGAACGGGCTAAAAGGGAAAACAAACAAGGTTAAGAAAGATCGATCGAAGGATAAGTATAACACGCGTGTCGTAGGTGGTGAAACCAGCCATCACGGAGAAGTTAGTGATCGCAACGACGGAGGGAAGTCCAGCAAGATTAGAGATCAGACTGTGTTCGAATCCGAAACCCCAGTTGGTTGCTTGGGAATGGGGCAGCACCAGACTCCACGCCGGTTAGACTGCTTCCTCCTAGCTCTACCGCCAAAAGTATTCGACTCTTTGGTTTTGCCCTTTCAGTTTTTCATTTTTACGTACGTCTCTTCTCTTCGCTAATTGGCACTTCTTATAGCTGAAAGTGGTACACTCGCGATTAATTAATTCGAGCATCCCTTTAGTCCGCGAGCTCCCCTTTAATTATATCCATCTCCTCCTTCGAGCCGCGACTCGAACTTTCCTGACGAACCTTCGAGCAACCTTCGATCTACGATCTCGGTTTCTCTAACGTATCCCTTAGAAACGAGATTTCGACGTATCTAACTAATCGCGCGTGGACCACCGGCCGATTATACTCTTTACTTTTATAACGAGATTTCTTTAAGTTCAAACGTAAAAAGTATGACACGATTTTACGGAGCTCGCGCGTTATTCTCGTCGAATCGTGTCACGCTTTTCGTCTTTTCGAACCGGCGTTTTTCCTTTGTTTTTCATTTCATTTTCATTCTCAACCTGTTTAGTACATCCGAGGTGAACTGCGAGGTACACGAGAATCCGGAATGTCCTTCGTCTTTCGATTGCCCTCGGATGGTGGAAACGGAATAATAAAAATGATAAATATCCTTTAACCGATAACGGTAAATATTGTTATTCGACTAATACGAAGTTTCGAGCTGTTCAAAGTTTTAACGCTAAACGAAAAAGTAATATCCGTACCCGAACGACTCGTCATCCAAGGGTTAATCTAATAAAGGATCGTTACGATCTTAGGAGCCATCGCGAGTTTGCGAGAGAACGAACATTGTCGAGTTGAAATGTCTGACGAAATATTGGCAGGTGAAGCTCTGCAACCACGATATCGAGCGTTGGATCTAGAACCATTAGCGGTGGAGGATTGTTACGCGGCAGTTTTGGAATTAAGCAGCACGGTCAAGGAGGATCAGAGACTGTACCACGTAATCGTGGAAAACGATCGAGGAAGCGATCGCCGAGCACTGATGCTGAGAGTGGACGAGCCAGGCCAGGTAAACGATAATACTCGTTGTGCAAACCGATTAAAAGCTTCGAGTCATCCGATTCTTCGATACGATCGTGCGTTGCATCGCCACGTGTTTCATCGCTAATCGTTCGATCGCAACGCGTTACGTTCAAAAATTCTCGCTTCCTACGGTGCCTTGTCCCTGACGATATAACGACAATCTATTAGATGTTTTAACGAAACGATTTTGTTATTTTATGAAAATACCAGAGAACATAAATATTTCACGTACACGCAAGAGACAATACGGCAACTGATAAAAAAATCTCTTCTTCTCTTTTTCTTTTTCCCCTATCTCTGTTCTTCTCGCGTCCGTTACAGATTCCACTCGTTATCGGTGCTGTTGCCGGGTTTACCGTTCTCTCGGTGCTGATAATGGGATTCGTTTGTTTCCTACGATCGGATAGATGCTGCGTGGCCAGAAATACGGTGCCTGCCCTACAGCAAGTGCATTGGTAAGCATCCTCGATATTGCATCACGTCGGTGATTTGCGCGAATAAACGTCGAAGCAATTTGCATGTAAAATCGGCGGATCAACTCTTTTCAATGGAAATATACCTATACATGTACGTGCTGGCTAATGAATTATTCCACGCACTCTTCGCCGCTGTTTACGTTAATTACTAAAAGCATCGTAGGCTAATTAGTTATATTTTTGAACTCGTCCAATCTGGTAAAGCGGTGTTCTTCGACGGTTCTGTGTATACCATTACGAAAAAAAACTGCCGATTTCTCTATACTAAAAACCACTAGGTTCAGCATAAAATCTATTCTTCTTATTATTTGTAATAAACGTGGCGTAAAATTGCCTCGAGTATTTTTGAATCGATTACTCGATCAAGCGACGGTCGAAGTCGCAACGGGTCCGTGAGTGCCGGAAAATAGAAAGAAATCGATCTGTTACAGTACGAAAGCCTCGAATACGATGATCGAGGATCCACGCTTAGCCGTCGACACTATGGAACGTGGTAGCCAACAGTACGCGTCAAAAAAACGTCCGAACCACGTTTTGAAGCCTGTTCCGTCGCAACAGTATCAACAAGAGTGTTATCAACACGTATCCCAACATCAGCAACCGCATTACCAAAGGCATCATCATCACCATGGACAACATCATGGACCACAGTACACGCTTCAGGTCAGATAAGTTGATAGACAGAAAAACAATGGAACTTGAAAAAACTCTATTCTCATAGAGAAGTAGAGAACGACGTCGCTGAGCGACGTTCTTCAAAATTGTTTTATTCGTCCCTCCATTGTCCCCATTGTCCTCCATGGTTTCCTTCATAGTCGCGCGAATGCACGAACAGATTGCAGCAAGCGTTTATTTTTCTTCTTCTTTCGCCTGTACTTCCGAATGGCATCGATGACCAGTTACCCGAAACTTTACGATAATTTTTCTTCATTCCGAATTGTCGAAGTCGAGAGTTAGAACGTCGTGCGTCTCTCCTAAAATATCCGCAAATTGCTTAGGTTAGATTATAGATCCGAATATGACTCGATCGATCACAGGTGCCATTCCGAAGATCGTAACGAAAGATCGTAACGAAAAATAGGGAGACGCGTCCCTATAAGCGGTACATTTCATAGATACTCTATGCACGAATTGATAATCGACAGAAAAATAGTAGAAAAACGAATAAACTCCGTTCTACCGGCAAATCGAATCGTGTAATTTGTCGAGAAAACTTGCACGTGAAACGGTGAAATTCGCACGAGACTAGCCCCGATTAGCTCGCTTGTTCGCGTTACGATAGAAACTTGTCGTTCGCTGCAAATCGCGAAGCATGATCTTTCCCTCGCGAGAAGAGTTTGCGAAACTTTTTGAAGAAACCTTCGGTAAGCTTCGATTGTTTCGTCGTTGGTTCGCTCGTACGATGTTGCAGAAAAAGTTTCGCATTCGAGAGTTTAGCATTCGTTACACCTTACAGATTTTTAAATCGAGACGAAATGTCGAAGAATTTCATCTGGCATGAAAAAAAGACCTCTATAGGATATCGATGGTCTAGCGCAGCGTCGAGCAATCTGCAGGTCGTATATGACCCTTCGATTTCCTTTCTTCGATTTGAAAAAGCGAAAAAAGTAGCTACCAAAGATCATACTCTTGTTATTTAATTTTCTTATTTTTCATAAGTCCTCTACAGCGTATCGAGTTTTCAGTTTGAAGAAATAAAGGATTGCTCGTCGCTGATCTAGTGCTTTCCATTTAGAGCATTTATCATCCGTTTCACCTTTACCCCCGATTTTCAAATTACCTTAGCGTTAGAGTGCTTGCCAACACCGATCATCCACTCGTTACATTTCTAAATGCACACTTTACACGGTTATCGTCGATTTCTCATCCTCTCTTCCACACTTTTTACTTTTCTTTTTCCTCCCCAAGCCTCGGTTATTCGCTCACACTTGTCGAGAAACGATCCCGTGAACATTCGATACTCGCGTTCGAAGAAGAGAGCGTCAGAAGTACGCGTGCTCGACTCGAATGCGGATAGTAATCCCGTTGAATAAGTGCAGCTCGCGATGATTTCGTTGCCGTTTGTTTTTCATGTTGGTCGGTCGCTTCATATTTCCGTATTAAACTTTGTTCGTCGATGACGAACCGAACGTCACGAAATCTCTACAATTTCGATCGAATATTACATCGACGCATCGCGTACTCGTACACGTTGTTACATCGAACAAAGATTCAGGATTTACAGGATAGATCGATCAGGGTAGAGAATAAATAAGTGTAGGTATCGAACACACAACGATTAAATTTAAACGAACAGCGATCTATTCTGTAAGCGTTGAATCTTATTCTATATTCGTTCGATCATCTAGGTTGCAATGCTCGTGCGATAACACGATGATGACAATATAGATTCGCACGAATATCGAACACCGCTGTCCTTCTCTCGATCGAGATAATCGTTCGAGTGATTTATGCGGTCGGGTAGGGTGCATTACGCATGCATTTGGTTGCATCTAGTCTTCTCTCGCCTCGGTCCCCTCCTATCCCAATTACCGCAATGTCCTTATAGGTAATTTAATTTAGGTAGGTGTACATAAGTAACGGATACAGCCACTTCTACTGTAACGCCATTACGGTCGTCTCGAACATTAAAGAACGTGACAGTAGAATTGACTGTATCGAAAAAAAGCGGTTGCGTTATGAATTTCGTTTTGATCCACTTGCTGCATTGCATCTTTTGACCACCGCTTTCGTTTCGTTGTCGCATCCGAAACAGGACCGTTTCCGGTACGGCCACGCGTCCTTCGTGGCATTTCAAAACGAAAGACTGACTCTCTAAACTATACACGGTAAAATCTCGATATTTTTCTCATAGACAAATTCCCCAGAGCTTCTCACGCTGAAAAATCTTGAGATTTTAATGTGTCCTCCTTCTTTAAGTATTATGTCGTCTATTATCGAGGTACTAAAAAGCTTCAAAAACATATATTGACTGATTCGAATTACATGTACACCCTGATAATGGTAAATTCTATATGGTAAAAGAAATCGAGAAGTTCTGCACCGTTTAGTAATTTGAGTTTTTACTTTCGAGATATAAGCAATTGAAAATTGTTCGTTCCATTTTCGAGACGCTTTATGAAAAGTTGATAACGGCAATTCATAAGTACCGATATTTGTTATATTAGGAAAATGTTTAGCGCGAGTATTTACGATGACAGGATCAGATGCATAAAAGTTGAATGCCACCTTTAACCTTATATTTCGAAAACGAAACTCATGATTGCAAAATGATAGAGACAGTCGATCGCATTTACTACGTGGAATTTGCGTTTTTCGCGATGTGCATTTCTTTCGAAATATCCTGTATATAAACACACATGGTTGTGAGGATAGTTATATAAATAAATCTCTACCGACAGAATCTTGATGCCATAAACGGCTTGTAATCAACGTTACAATTAACAAGCACGAATGATAATCGTGTGTTCAATTACCGATTTACTCGTTCCAATAATCAAATTATACTGGTCTATTGCGAGAATACCTTTAACTCGTATGAAACGTTACGCTAATTGACGTTGACAATTATATAAGAAAGTTCGAGTGTACATACGCGTCTGGTTCTATACATATACATAAATACGTACAAACTCTTTATTTATAACAAATCGATTCCAGAAGCCAAAAAGGCATAACGTGCAAGCAAGGCTGGTAGATGAACCGTAAACGTAAACGGATTTTAAGATCGATTTATATTATCCCGTTCAGACACGTAGCGAGTAATCAACGCGAGATAACGCTAAGTATACATGTATCGAAAACAGCTAAAACAAACTTCGAAGTACTTTTTCGTGTATGATGTTGTCATTAAAAAAATGATCATGCAGATGCGTGTGCTTGTCCGTTTGTTATCCGTAAATCCCATATGGAAGCGTACAAACACGTATAATGTTGTAATATATCGTGCAATGTAACGCGACCTGTGTATACGCGACAGCGCTACGTCGCTACGCGTAATCAGCGAGTTGAAACAACCGCCAGGTCGACCGTCGGTTCTTTTCCTTTCTTGCTTTTCCCTTCGGCTATCCTTTCGCTCGTTACGACGCCTCAGATTCTCTTTACGCTCTCTCGCGATGATTAATTCCCTGACCACTATTATCCTCAACTTTTCCCACACACCTGTGTACGATCGGATCGATTTTCTACCATCGAACGAACAAAATGAAAGAGCACCTTCGTTCACGGTTACCCTCGTCGAGTATCACTGCACATCGCAGTCCGTTTCTTCTCGTTATGGGATCAGAGCCTTCGCGTAAAACCTTCAGAAACGACCGATGGAGGGACAAAGGCGAATCGGCTGTAGCGCAATGAATAAGAGGTCGAGAGAGATTTCTGCTAGTTTCGGTTGATTTCGGTTCATCGACGAGTTTCCTATGTATGTGTTACGCGATGCCTTCGACGATGCGTTCACTCGTGTTTGTACGCATCCAAACATTCCTGTTACCTCTCGTCAAGATCAATTATAATGTCGCAACAACGCGAGTTATTTTTCCTTTTCATCTATATTGTCGAGTAATAAAATTTAACCGTTACATTTTATTATTATTTATTCGCGTGTTCGGTGTTAAATTCGACTATTCGATTAAAAATCGGTAGACTTTCGCTGAAGAATCGAACGTCGGGCAATCCACTCCGTTCGTTTGCGATTAATCGAGCCAGTTTAAACATTTATTCGTGCTGTTTACTACGATGTTATCCATGATATCGGTAATATCAATGTGCGTGCAGGCGAATATTTATTTTCCATTTGCAAACATTCGAAATATTATAACGAAATATATTCTATCATGGATCGATACTAAAAAGCGTTTAAATCTTTATATACATATTGCGTGTTTTTAACTCGTCGACTGCCATAAATTTAGAATTTATATAATAACCAGTATCGCCACTAATACGTATAGTAAGAAGAAAGTTGTGGCAGTCAACGCGTTGAAATTATTAAATAAATGTCCCTCGACTCGTTTAACAGCATGACGCCTTTAAAATCGAAACAAAAGCCTCGACTAAATCCTTAAGCGTTAAAAAACGGCCCTGTTCCTTTCTTCTTCACGTATCAAACTGCAACAAGCCGCACTTTGTATCTTCTAGTTTCTTACATTCCTGATTGTCACGTATGTAATTGAACCCGTAGAATCGTAGACTTTCCTGCAGGCGCTTTGGTTTGCGCGGGAAAACTGACCGTTTAAGATCCTTAAGATGAAAATTGTGCAGGGGGAGCAGCTGTTTCTCAAACCAGATCGTTTAGCGACTCTGAAGCCCCACTGCAAGATCGAGAAGCCGCCACAGTACACGACGTTCAAGCCAAGCTCGAACAACTGAGGATTTTGCTACATATTTCTATTTTATATTGATGTACACGCGCACGTCATAGGGAAAACGGTGATGGGAGGAAGATGAAAGACGGGAGGAGAAAGAGGAAGAATCGATTAAAATGAGACTGAACAGGGACACCGGATCGAAACCGATGATCGATCGTCGTTTATTCCCTTCGAATTTAAACGAATTTTTTCCTCCTCGATTAATATTATAACGTACGAATTAATATTATAACGTTCGATCGGCAATTTATTTATTTCGCCCTTCTGGCCACGAAGAAATTTCACGGACATTATCGATCGAGGCACTCGGTCGATATTATCGTTAACGACTAAGAAAAGCGCGCTATTGTCGCTAACATTTTAAATGTTAATCGATAGACATTTCATAGTGAGAATAACTCTCTTGCCAAATAATACTGCCATTCTGTTTCGATAATAATACGATCTGTACAACGTCTGAACCAATCAAAAAATGAGAACTATAATATAAAGCGTATTTATAATGCTTACGAATAATGTTGTTAATAAAGCAATGATTTTCAGCAACTACTGGTTTTATTAATATTATACGAGCGACACGTTCGATGCGCGGATGCTGTTTGCGTTTTATCAAATTCTTAATTCGTTTTTCTTTTGTACAATTGTTACTAATTTCAATAAAGGAATTGTGCGAAAACCATATGAACGTGAATTAACGATATCCTAATTACCCTGTTGAATTCTGTTTCAAAAGAATCTGGCAAATTCCTGTTAAAATAATCGAAAATAGTTTGAACGTTTCGACGGCAGAGGGCAGTGAACGATTGTCAATGCCTGACGTCGGCCGATTACATATCTTTAGTAGAATCGCTATCTCGTGACATAAACCCTCGTGTTAGCGGGCGGAAGGAAATCGGAGCGTGGAATATAGGTTAGCGTGTGCTTTTTTTACACACTGATTAAGTTTTAACCATTTGATTTTGTAATTTTTATACAAATTGTCGAACGCTAATGTAAATTTACACCGTTGCAATTATGGCGGTACGTGTGCAGTTCGAAAATAATAACGAAGTCGGAGTATTTTCCAAGTTAACTAACGCTTATTGCCTCGTAGCAATTGGCGGTTCCGAGAATTTTTACAGGTAATGATAGGTCTGAGTAAGTAATATCGTTTTAACTTTCAGCATTTCGCTGTGTTAGTAAAACTTGTATCGAGATTACGTATAATGATGCAATAATTTCATGAGCGGCCTGTCGATTTCATAACCTATAACGTACGTTGACGCGAAACGCGATATAAATATTTACGATTAATAAAACAGATATTGACAATTACAGTGTATTCGAGGCAGAGTTAGCCGAAACCATTCCTGTAGTTCACGCATCGGTTGCAGGATGCCGGATAATAGGTCGATTATGTGTTGGTAAGCGTTAATCGCGTGAAAATTATAACCCTTCGAGTTTCCTATTAATCGAAACGAATGATCAACTAAATTTAAATAGGAAACAAAAATGGTCTGTTAGTTCCGAATACCACCACCGATACAGAACTGCAACACATACGAAATTCGTTGCCAGATAACGTGAAAGTACAAAGAATCGAAGAAAGACTGTCCGCGTTGGGTAACGTTATCGCGTGTAACGATTACGTGGCTTTGGTTCATCCTGATCTTGACAGGGCATGTATCTGTTCCGAATGTCTTTAACTTTCGCTTTCCCATCATACTAACGTTACGTTTTATAGGAAACGGAAGAAATTTTAGCCGATACATTGAACGTCGAAGTGTTCAGACAAACCGTGGCAAGTAACGTTCTAGTAGGCTCGTATTCGGTATTATCGAATCAAGGTGGCTTAGTACACCCAAAAACATCTATACAGGACCAAGATGAACTGTCATCTTTATTACAAGTACCGCTTGCTGTAAGATAATTTCATACGTACAAAAAACGATGAATTTTTACGTATCTTATTGAGCATATAAATATCATATAGGCAGGCACGGTAAATAGAGGTAGCGACGTTATAGCTGCAGGAATGGTTGTAAACGATTGGGTGTCTTTCTGTGGCATGGATACAACATCGACGGAACTTTCGGTTATTGAAAGTGTTTTCAAACTTAACGAAGCTGCCCCAGCTGCTATTACCTCTACAATGCGTGCATCTCTTATAGAAAGGTAAAGTATCTTCTAATTTAGGATAAAACCGTTGACCAAAACTGACCAAACCGTTTTCGTTTCTTTCAGTATGTCTTAAATAATAATAAACTCTCTGAGAGAGATTTTTAAAAGAAAAAAAGAAAAAAGAGGGAAGGAGAAGTAATAGATTGTACCGTGTACATGTACATAAATTCAATATTTATGTTAACGCAATTGCACAAAGCGACGAGGTGCTTTAACGATACGTCTGTAGCGAGCACACATTTTCATGATTCCAATATATAGAATAACCGAAAACTGTAACGAAATATTCTGTACTAAAATTTATATGAAATACATCTTTAAGTTCCGTCTTTCAGTCGCCAATGTTATATATGAAAATATCGTGCTTACCTCGAACAATGTTCATAAAGGAAAAAATAAAATTCTTAACCGTGAAATCTAAAAGTTACGTTTGCCGTCAAAGGTTAGAACATACAAATTTTTTAATTCTGTTGAAATTTTTTTTAATATATGGATTTATAAATATAACTGCATATAAAACGGAAATATTCTATTGAAATATATTTTAATTGTTAATATTCTCTTTGAATACAAACATATCTCGTGTTAAAAATGTAAATCATTTCGATTCTGACCCTAACTGTTTTGCATAGTAAACGAACTATCGTAAATAACATTGTGCGGACCAGCCTGCTAATTAAATTTATTACAAATAAAAAAGGGGCAGCCTGGATTTTATTAATTTTGATCAACAAGACTAGAGTAATGGTAATTGTTCAGCGTTTAACAACTCGGAAGCAGCAGCAGAATCTGCACACATAACTAATGTAATTCCTGCTTGATAGGATGCAGGAATACGAACGTGAGTTGCGCCGTTAGTTATATTATTTACTTGTCGCCTCTGAGACATTGCTTCGCGTACCATATTTACAACTTGCCCTATTAAAATAAAATATATTAAAGTAATAGTAATTATTTCAACATACTAACTGTACTTTAATTAATAACGAATAATTAAATATACCGAGCACGTTGAGCTTTCGCCATTTCTGATCCATAGTAGCGAGCGGTGTTAGGTCTGTATTAGGATTCCAATGAGCTAAAACATCCGCTCTTCGTACTAACAAAATACTGGGACTTACAAGTTGGTGCCAAACATACTAAAATAAATTGAAGTTTGTATTGTTTTAATTACTGATTAACTATCGTTTTAACCAACCTGTTCTGGTAGACATTCTAACGGATTCGTTAAATATATCCCTGCTTGCCCTACACCAAATATCATTTGATGATGCCATGCATCAGGAATATCGCATCCTTCTCCACAATGTTGTAAATTCAACGTCGCTATGGGCGCAGCACCTAAAAAAATACATAAAGAACAATACGTTAAAACATCAACGTTTCTTTCGTTTTCCTGTTTTTCTAAATCGCTTACCTCTCGATATCCAATAATGTAACCAATGAGACAAAGAAACTTTCCTTTCCGGATAAAATGCAAAAAATTTCGTTATGACTGTACCATTTGTACTCGAAGCGATACCGCGAGCCAGATCTTTGTGTGTCGATCCCGCCACCGATCGACTATATAAATATCGCAATAATGGCGTACCTGGTTCTCTCTGTCTAGTGTTTACACTTTTTACTAACGTTTCCAATGAAAACGATACGTTTAAAGCCAACTATGAAATTCCATTAGTTAGTTAAAGTCTTGAAACTGCATTGAAACTGTGTTTAATAGTACAACATACTAAAGCATTTATCGCAGAAGTAGCACCACACGCAGAAGTTCCAATTTGTGTTACTTGTTTCACTGTAGCTTCTTGTTCACTCCACAACATAACTTTTTCGACTGGTAAAAGACCATCTAATCTTTCGTTAGATAATTCATTTTCCTATAAATATAAAAATTCATGGAAATTATCACAATGCACCGTATAATCTTATAGGATTTTATAATGATTTATATTAACTAGATTCGAGTCACCGCTCTGATTAAATGCAGCTTGTTTATTGAGCATTAATTTTTTTGCCATCATTCGATGGTAAAGAGTCGAACTGAGATTCACTCTTCTAGAGTTCAAATTAGAATTTTCTGAAACAGAAGCCGTTGAAGATTCGGTCCAAAGTTCTGAATCTGAATCTCTATTGTCACCAGGTGAAATAAGATCTCCGCTTGTATTATGATATCCGTAGGATTCTCGTAAAGGGCATCCTGTATTACGATGCTTGCCAATAGTTTCCCATTTTCCTGTATATTCGTAGTTATAGATAGTGTTATTAAACATACGACGTTTTTTATAACATACAATAGCAGTAACAATATACCGGTAGTACTACTCGTGCTTGGCATCCACGACGAAGGATAACTTGGTTTTATACTCGATTCCGGCGCAAGTTGGCTACTACAACACTGCTGAGGTCCTGTATTATTCACATTTTGTACACTCTGCTTAGGATTTTGTGAAGTAGTTGCAATTCCTTGTCTAGACACAACTTTACCGCTACTTAAGTCATTTAATACTGGATCTGGATCTATGTTATCTAGAGCTATATTCTGTATGTCTTCGTTTATAGAGGCCAAATCGCTATCTCCTGTATCCTGTATCAAAGACATTTTAGGTAGAAACTAACTTTATACATTGACTATACCTGTTCGGTACCTGTTCGCAAGAAGGTCCAGGATCAAAATCCATTTCTAAAAAGTCCATTTCTGGACTCGATCTACCGCTATGATATTGTCCTTCCTCTTCCTGTTCTTCTGCTTGTCTCTGATTTACTTCTTCCTTTTGAGCTAAATGAACTATGTCATCGTTTCCTTTGTAAGTATAAATACAGTAATCTTCTCCGTCTGACATGTCACCTTCGTTTCCAGAACTTGAATCCCTCCTTTCGTTTTGTTCTCTCTGTATACTCTAGTTTAAAAAATTAGAATTACTTTATCCTACATTAATAATATATTTTAATACTAATTCCAAGTCTTACTTTTTGTAAACCGCTTGGTCCTGCTACTTCTCTGTTACCATTAATATTAGGTCTTAAGAAACAACATGTTCCTTGACTTGTGGAGCCTATACTACCACCAATATTATTCAGTATACACTTAGATCCATAGGATTTTGATGCCCAGGCACCATCCATTTCAGGACTTGAATCTGAACTACATGACACTTTTGATGGACATTTCTCAATTCCAGATATATAATCTACATTATTTTTCATATCAATATCGTCGTTTGGTTTAGTTCCTGATAAATTTGTTTGTACCGGAGAAGAAGCAGACGTTGAATTATTTAAATGAAGAACAGAATTTGACATAGCGCCAGCATTATAAGAACAAGCGTGATTCGTATGCGTATTGTTGATTTGATTGGAAGATAAATTTAGGTGCATCTGAGGCTTAGGCAAATTTAAAGCGCCTGTATTTATTATAGTCTTATGCTTCAATTGACTCGTAACAGTACTGTTCACAGTTTGAGGCTTGATGTTATTGGTATTCAAGAACATGGAAGGTACACCCATGTTCAACATGCCATCATTTCTATCTTGGTCCATAGTATTCGTGAAATTACAAGCGCCAGCTTGGTGAGATTTTGTACCATTAGCAAATGCAACCGAAGTCTTAGAAGACAAATGATTCTTGGCACTATTCTCGTCTAATTTATTATTTAACTTAAGCTGATTTCCGCACACCTTGCTCTCAAGCTGTAAAACCTTAGATGATTTGGTTGTTTGATCAATCGATTGATTACCATTTTTCTTTAAATTTCCTTCTATTCTTGCTTCAGTTTTGTTTTGGTTATTGCTTGTACCTTCTTCAGAATTCATATTATCTTTACTATACGATTGGTAAGTTATCTATTAAAAAATGAATAAGAATAATTTTTATCTCTTTTTAATTCAAGTTGTCTATACACTAGATCATTATAAGATTAATTGGAAATTAGAAGAGTTGTGTTAAATAGATGAAGCATAACCATCACATTCAACTGTGTTTCACAGAAATGTGATAACATGTATTTTACCTCTCAACTAGTTTTCAATAGATACACTATTCTACAGATCTCATTAGTTTATATTTAATAAAGCTTATATTGTAAAGAATTAAACGTGTCAGTCTTTGATTAATGAAATTATAAAAAAATAAAGTACTTGTTTGCTTATACGTGCGCTGTTATGTCAAGCGGAAACCTCACTAACATTTTCTCCCGTATTAGTTCCGGAAGTCAGCTGATTGTTAGAAACAAGTGTACAACGTACACGGAACTTCGTTATTTTTCCGACAAACTATTCAATCGTTCGTAACAACAAATTAGTAGCACACATCATTTCTATTAACACCAACACAAACGATTCGAAGAGAAGATTCTTTCGACTTTTCTTGGTATCAACGAGATTAATAAGTTCTTTCAGTATTTACAAAATATCAATGCACAAGTTGCATGCAGAAATGCGTTTATGATTTGTCTGAAAGGAAACGTTATCTAGAAAGTCTCTTTTAAATCAGAAAGCATTGTAATACACATATGTAATATATATGTGCGTTGTGTGTGCGTGTATATATATGTGTATATATATATATATATGTAGTGTATAAACGATCTAGTCTTATAGTTCAAGGAAAATATCAACCAATCGTGAAGAGACATACATTGACTTGTGTAATTTAATAGTAAAGAAGAAAAAATATTTCACGTCATATGTATATTGAATATTTGAACATTGTAGAGATTTGAATCATGTTTTACGTTTAAAATTGTCAAAATGTATTGTGGTTTTTGTCGTTACAAATACATACATAATACATTTGCAATACATTATCTGTTAGTTTAGATAATGTCAAAGAATCATGTGCGAAACGTCTAACATTAGTAATCCCTAGGATCACGTTGTTTTGTTTTGATTCGGAATCTTCAATTTTTCTTACATTAGTCTTGAAGGTTGTTTAAATCTCCATTTTTTAATTCAGAATAAGTGAAATTATATTGCTTACTTCAAACAAATCAATTCTGCGACCTATTATATAGATATATTAATACACGTTTTATTGTACGTGAACGAGTAAAAGTTTATTGAATTTTCGTATATATTGAGTATTAGCTCGATCAATGAAACGTTGTTTATAATGAATGTTGTACGAATTAATTCAAGAAATGTGATTTTTGTTCTTCTGGCGATTTTATCGACTACTGTGAAACAGGCTCACATGGGTTATGGTAAATTTCATTAAAATTTCAATCATTTTAAAAATAATTTTCCAATAAATTAATAGTTTTCATATAATAAATATATTTCAGACAGCGTGACGAATTATGCAATGAAAGAGGCAAATGTAAACTCTACACCAGCATACAATAGTAAAAAGGTATATAGTAGTAATACATAAATTAATACAGTAGAAAGACAATATACCCAATAATTCTAACATGTGCAGGAAGAAATTGCAAAATCGTGTCCAAGTGGTATAGCATGTTCAGAATTAAGCGGAGAATGTTTAAAGTGTAATTTAAATCCTAATTGCGTGTATGGAGCTATGTTAATTGCTAATTGTTCTGTTTTGGAACACATTGATTGTATTGTAAGTAAGATAACAATACATAATGTCTTTTTATTTAAAGTGTATTTAATACTAATGAATATAATAAAATTTTAGGGCGAACAGTTCTTCCAAAGAAAATACATATGCCGCTATTGTTATCAAACAGAGTATTGGGAACACGAATGTCATCAAAAAAATTCTTGTAGTTCTGTAGCTTCTCCTCGACAGTATTATAGAACAAACTGTACAGTAAATAGTGACATATTATGTTTAGGAAGGCGTAAATTCATGAAAAATTTGTTATGCAATTGGACTGTAGGTTACCGTTGGTCTACTGCTCTAATTTTAAGTATCACTTTAGGTGGTTTTGGAGCAGATCGGTATGTTTCCAGTGTAAAATATGAAATATTTGTTAAAAATTACATTTCATCTATTTCAATATAAATTACAGGTTTTATTTGGGTCATTGGCAAGAGGGAATTGGTAAATTGTTCACTTTCGGAGGATTGGGAGTATGGACTCTGATCGATGTAATACTTATTTCAATGAGATATTTAGGTCCAGCGGATGGATCATTGTACATTTAGAATCTATTGTGCAGAGATAAATTGAAAGTCAAGTGTGAATTCTATTAATTAATTATATATTTAGTATTTTATGAGAAGCAAGCATTTTATTATTCTTAAAAGAACTGAATTGTAATGTGATATGTATATAAAATGTTCAATAATTTTTTCTTACAATGTAATTTTTTTATTAGTCATTAATGTACTATCCAATACATACAATGAAGCATTAATTCCTTGTACCTAGTTTCGTCTTATAATTCAAAGCTTAATTTATATGATTTAAATTATCTTCTGTTTATGTTCCCTCGTTACAGTGCTTTCAATTAGCGCTGTCTAGGAATGGTAATATGCATGAAATTAGATAGGAGTGCATCTCTAATTAACTTACGAGAATATATTTAAAATTAGACGTAACGCTTAAAGTCTACGGGGACATGGTTTTTCGGTAATTATTCCTCAGTGGCATGCGCGGTCGGCGCGCAGGAGGAATATATACGATAATGAGAATGCAAAATCGTTAATTACTCACTTTCTGAGCATAGCCTATGAACTTTTATGATTAAAGAATGGCCACCAATGCATTATTTACATGGTTCGATCATAAAAGTTCATAAATAATGTTTGGGTAATGGGTAATTAATTATTTTGTGTCAGCATTGCGACACGTACATGAGCCGCCTTTGTCAATTCTAATACGCATGCAAAGTGCAATATTTCGGCGCTTTGACGACGTAGTATGGTTCCTGAGGCATTTAGAAACAAATTTCTGTTAGGGTTTGATGCGTTTTGATGCCTAATAAAGCCAGAAAATCAATTTTTGTAGAATTCGGTCCAAAACGGTACAGGTGGCGCCATCTAGCGGTGAGCGGCGGAACTACGAAAAACTAAAATTTCGATTTTCT